ACATAGGTATATTTCCCAGATCTCAATAGGTGAAAGGTGAATATTACTTCCTCATTAAGGATAATTTTAGCTCTATTTTCTGGAAATATTTTGGCAATAACTTCCATACCACTTGTCGTGTCAATTATGTTGCTTAGATCCCAATCCATGTTATGGAAATGTTTTACAAATCAGCAATTATTCTTTGTTCACATTTTCAGGAGGATGCAGTACCCTGCGCCATGGATGAAACCTCCTTGCTGATCGTACTTGGGTTGGGAGTAATGCAGTCTATCTTCAACTTTGTCATGAGTTTGGTAAGCAAAATTTAAAATAGCAATGAATTATATTATCACTGTCGTGGTGGCCCGGAGGTTTAAGACGTGCATGATGGGACAGGTTCGAAACCCAGCAACGGCCAGTAACCAATGTGACTTTTTCCGAGTTATATTTACTTTCTAAGATTATCTAGACACCACTGACAAATGGTGAAGGCAAACGTCGTGAGGAAACCTGGACTTATAATTTATAATCATAAGTTTGGAATCGCCAACCCGCATGCGTAGTGATTATTGCTCAAACCTTCTCCGTGTGAGAATAGGCTTTGCTCAGCAGTGGGCATTTATATGATGCTATTGATGATGATATTATCACCTAAAAATAGTAAAAGTATAGTATATCTTGTGTCAGTTGGCCCATTGACGTTCTCTGGTAGAAATTACCAGTAGGTAGGTACTTGGAAAATCTGACAGTGATACTTAGTATGATATGAATAAATGACAAAAATTTCAATGTTTAACATACTTTCCTACTTACTCCTGAACCTACCCACTTCTTCAAGTAGGTGTGACGTAAGCGGTAAGCAAGATGGAAAAATATAACATGAGATTTAACTCCTATTTCTACTTTTTCAGCTATTGGGCTTAGTGGGTCGTCGTAACATGGTGCTGGTCGTAACTGCACTATGTGGCGTCTGTGGTATCTTGGTGAACCTGGTGCCTAACGCCATCGGCAGTGCCGTGCTCTTCGCCATATTCCTCCAGGGCGTGGTCGTCATTGGACTGTACACTGCTATTGTAGTCGCCATATTCCCGACCAATTTGAGGTAAGTGCATAACATAACTTTTAAAATATTAGTGCTCATAAATAGGTATTAAACGTAACACTTAGTTTTTAACCCAAACCTTATTTGGTTTTTTGCTCAACCTGAGAACCAAACCCTAGGTAACTCATAAAGCAGTCAATTTAATATACGGGCAGTCTCATACTATAAGTGATGAGATGAGAATGGTTTTAAAAGTCAGTCTCTCCATTTGGGCATTAACATAGGTAGGTACATCTTCAGTGCGAACTCTCTGAATCTCAAATAATCATTTCATTTTTCCAGGGCCATGGCAATTGCTCTTCCAATGACGTTTGGACGTATCGGTACATTCGCATCCGTACAGATCATCAATTTGATGTTGGTTAACAGTTGCGAAGCTGGCTTTTATCTCTTCTCGTGTATTTTCGGAGGTAAGTGTAAAGTGTTCATTTAAACATTGGTAGGTACTGACACAGAGTCAGTACCTACCAAAGTTTAAATGAACATGGCCTAGAGTATAGAAACCAACAATTAAATACACATTATTTATTAAATTACAGCATCAATGATTGTCGCACTGTTTCTACCGGACGACCGTCGCCTTCAAAAACCAGTAGCTTCACCGCCACCACCAGTAACAAAAGTTGAAAATGATGAAATACTCAGAAGAGAAAGCGAAAAAATGTCTTACTTGTAAATATATTAGTAAAATAGCTAGGTAATTTAAGTTAGAATTTATTTATTATCTTGTTAAGGTTTATACTCATAAAAAAATTATCAGATCAATGTAACATAATTACGTGTTAGTAATTTAAGTAATTAATTGCAATAATTAAAAACATACAATCTATTTGCCTTTTTCCTCACATTCTAATAAATTCTAATTTCTGGAATGTAAATCTTTAAAAAATAAGTTTACGAAGTCAGCTAAACGCACACAACGGAGCAAGCTTATTTGACAACTGTGACACATCACACTGACAGCTGTCTTTGTAAACGCACCAGTTGCGCTTGTCAGCTCGGTTATCAAAAAGTCGTGATAAAGATTTCTATCAGTTGAAAGTGAAATAACTCTAAATTAAAAACATCGATCGCGGGCGGCGGCTGTTCTTCGCAGAGCAACGTCCAAGGACACTCGGCTGATTACAGAGGTGACAACAACTTGTATTATTATGTTCGTCCTTGCCCGTCGACGGCGACAGGCGACCTATCGCATTGATTTTTCTATAAACCGAGCTAGTAAATATTGGTTAACGCTCATTAATCAGTATAAGATGTCTTTGAGGTTAACGGTGTCGGCGCTATAAACATTGGGTCATGTATTGCGGGCGCACATAATACTGTTTAGTTTATCTCCAGCACTGCGTGTGGTGACTGTAAGAGTCGGTCGCACGATACTACTTAAGATAATAACCGTGATAATTAAAGGTAAGCTGATAATCAACCTTAATGCAGATTATAAAGATATTCACTATGAAGGCTATATTTTAGAGATTAATAAGTTAGTATGAATATATTCATTGGCCCTTTTTATTAGTTGGTTCTAATCTAAAGTCTTATCAATTGTCATCTGATTTTAATGGCCAGATTGTTTTGATAATTTTGTTTATAAAAAGATAACAAGTTTGCAAAGAAAAATATGATAACTAATGAATCATAAGTAGGTTACAAAGTGCAAAAACTGTGTGAATATTGTACTTAATTTTGTACAATATTCTAACTGACTCAAGGCTATTCAACTACAAGTCAATTTATCTCTCTAAAAATCCATTTATTTTATTTAAATAAATCGAAATAGGTACACTATTCTTTATTCAAATTTAAATTACAAATATTTAAATAAAGAAGCCAATTTATATTCCGAACCGTTTAAAAAACTTACCATGACAAAAAATATTAGAATAATATTCAAGCAAGTAGGTAAGTATCTAATTTACATGTTAAGCATTCAAAGTGAACATAAAATCAATTGTTTGTATATGATGAAATCCTACAAGGGCTAAGCTTGATCAACATGTATCAAGTGTCCAATGATCCAGTTTAAATTTAGGTAATCCTGTTATAAAAACATGACACACTTATGCAGGTATTTGTTCAGAGTTTCATTGCATTTGCATACAACCAGGCTTTGTGAGATCAACAGACAATAAAACAGTAAGTAATGTATATCTTACAATTTCTTTTATTTAATCATATCTTGCCGCACTTGAAATGTGTTTAGTAAACAGTAATTTAATTTTACTTAGATCTGACAGATAGCTATTTTTATGTATTATTGTTTTTACTTATGCAGATTATATTTAATCATTTTATGCAATGGTAACACTGGCTGCTATAGGTTAAAATAAGTATAATCTGCAGCCACTTGTTGCTTTTCGTTGAATGTCAGGCATTAATATTTTTATTTTTTTTTAATATCAATGCTATTAAGTCCTTGGTAAGTATAATTATATTATTATGGCATTCAACATAACATTTTTTTCTGGTAAATAAATGAAAAAAAAAACAAACAGCCAAACAAAGTACCTCCTCCTTTTTTTGAAGTCTGTAAAAATAGGGGCAGATATTAAGAATCCCTATTTATCTTCACATACTATAGACTTGAAACTTATTGTAAATATTATGTTAATACAAATACGGAAGAAGTGTGGCATGGAAATGTAGACTTTGTATAATTTCTGGCATATAATTATTTACAGTCAGCCAAGATATTTTCCTATGCAGGTAAGGAAATTTACAAAGATTATTCAACACTAGCAATCCCGGCGAACTCCGTTTCGCCACCAGATGGCTTCGTTTTATGTAACATTTCGTTTGGTGATTAAAAGATGAAGAAAAACTTTTTTCCTGAATTTTCTTTGCTATAAACCTCCCGGAGCCCGAGACCTTTCCAACGAATGCAAAACCGTGGAAATCGGTTCGTGCGTTCTGGAGTTATAGCGTCAGGAAGGAAAACCCGACTTATTTTTATATAGTAAATAAAATATTAACCTTCTATGCAATACTTAGCTGCTCAATTATTGCGAAACAAATAGCTTAAAATTTAATATAGCAACAGCTACTGCCCCTGTACTAAATCAACCTTTTTTTTACCAAATAATATCTTGATAGTACATGTGTACATACTTATTGAATAGGCTGTCATGGATCAATAACTCTATAGACAGTCTATCAATTTATTGTATAGCTATAAACTCAATACTTCGATCAGACAGGTACCATCTGACCCGATGAACCATACGCGTAAACCGTATTGCGTCAAAATCAATAGATATTGTGTAAAAAGTACACTAGTTACTGCCTCATAGCAATTTTTTGATCTGTGTAACATTGCTATTCTGCTGTTGAAGGCGCTAACAATACAGATAAAACAAATTGATTAACAATGTGATTTATTCGAATGAGGATTTTTGTTTGAAGGCGCCAGAGCGTAAACTCTTGTTATTATTTGAAATGAAATGAAATTTGTGATACATAGGTACATTTGGTTGGTCATTTTTAGATTAAAGTGCGCTATGATCAGCCTATTTTAGGCATACAAATACTCGTATAAGAGTTTAAATCAGTAAGTCCATTAATTAGTAAGATAAGTAAATATGAATTTGTCGTGTTTTAATAGATAACATGTCAATAGTGTTCGTCAAAAAGTCAAATGAGGAAGACTACTTAATGCTTAATAAATTGATGTCAATAAGTAGGTAATTAATGGATTATTATAGTCAATACGTTATAGCTATACATAAGTCAACAAATATCATTCCTTAAAGAATCAAAAACACTCAGGCTGGATAATATCATAATACAACACTTCAAATACAGCAAATGATACCATTGAGCAGTGTTAACAATAAGAAAAACAGAAGTAAAAATAATTTCTCCCCAATTAACATAGAGTTCCATTTCCCACAGCTTAAGACAACGGCGTCAGTAAGTCAAGATGGCGAGCAGTTCGTGGGAGGAGTTCTTCGCTGTCCACCTGCCTCCACCGGACTTTGAGGACAACAGGTCACTGCTGAAGGAGTTCTGCGAACGACATGACCAGTACGGCAACAAGATTGTACTTGTTACGGTGAGTTAGTTACATTTATTTATCGTTTTACATTGAGAGCTGTGCTTCGGCACGTATGGACCGGCTCTATCGGAGTGCAAACACGGCCTCACAGAAAATCGACGTGAAACAACGCTTGCGTCGTGTGCAGCCGTACTAGAGGTCACTAGCCGGTTCACGATGCTCTTATAACTTCTATGGTAGCGGCGGAGGACTTAACGGGTTACCGGGACTCCGGCTCGAAGTTCAGAAGTAGGAACGGCGTGGTTTTTAGTCAGTAAGAGTCCAACACTCCCTCTCACCTCACCCGGGCGAGAGAAATCTTGTATGTATAAATAACCCCCTTCAAAAAAAATAATTCTATAGTATTGCGGGTATTCATAGACGGTTCTGAATTCTTACCATCAGGTAACACACATGGTCGATTCGCAAGTTTAATCCAAAAGTCGGGCAAAGCAGTGGGTTGAGTTTAGATGAGTATATTGCGAACAGACAGACTGTGGGAGAGTTCGTGTTGAAAAATATGTTTTAAATAATTCCTAGTTGTCACTTACGTCGTATGAAACAGTAACAATAAAAGCTAGTTTCATTGCTCTGACGAACAAAAACCAACCTTGTAGTTTTATGATGTGCAAGCGACATTCAGCCTTATGGTAGTAAAGTAATTTTATGACCGAATATACGACACGAATTAATATACATTAGGTTGTTTATTGTTTGTTTGGCGTCTATACAGACTCATATCAAGCTTCCCCAATAATCTAATTTGTTTAATAGATTTTCAATTCAATTATATAGGCAATAAGGTCAATTATAACAACTACTTCAAAAACTAGAAAGAGAAATTGGTACCTACTAACTAATAAGTTTGTATTATTTTGGTATACAACACTTTTATTTATAATATCTCCCTAAAGTAGATGAATCACGTTATGGTATTATTCCTCTCGTTCGTACAATTTCTAATGTATAATTAAACAGAATAATTCGTAGTTTATTGCTGTATTACAGTTCATTAATGTTGCTTATAATTTCATAATGTTTAGCACTAAAGAATATCGTAAAAGGTGAATGTTTCCCATAGGAACTATAAAGTTACGTCGAACATCTTTTTATTTAAATCAACACTGTTTCTCACTATTGGTCAACACACACATTTTATAAAATTATAGGTAATTAATATTGTAATAAGTAATAACACAGCCATATTAATATTGCCTCGAAATACTGAGTTTTTTTTTTAAATCAACCTTAAGATCTAAGATTCTTGGCAATATAAACAGAATATTAACTAGCAATTTTAAACAAAATACTTACTAATACTTTAGCAGATTTAATATTGACTTAAGAATTAGTAAAGCAAAACTACTATAAATAATTATATCTTCTCGATTATTACATACAAGTAATTCTACAAACTTTGTAGAACACAAATGTAAATAACAACAAAGATATACTCCTATAATTTGAAACCCAGACATCCTAAAATATCTGTCTAGGTCAGAGTAATTTTCGTAATGTGAAAAGGTTCTAAGTATATGCAATCAAGTAATTAGGTTATACCTACCGTAGTCGAACATGCCTTGACCTTTGGTAACGAAATTACTCGTGAAATTCTAGCAGTAAAGACCAGGCAACAACTAGTAGGCATAGGTAGTATAGTATAGGCAGTAATTCGTCATAGTTGAAGGCCTGAGTTAGATTTAGTATCCGCATAATGAGCTAGCATTTTTGTAAAAGTTGAAAATCTTGATAAGACTAGGTCATAGGTAAAATTTTGGAAATAATTTGTAGTAGCTATGACTAGTAAGAGTCTGTACTAGCTAATGCTAAATTTATTTAAAAACGTCCATTTGTGTATAAGATTTTTAAACATATTCAATTAAATGCTCCACTAATCTTTAAAACTTATTACTAGGACCTTTTTTCATAAGAAAAATGCTTCCAATTATTCGCCAGTTAGGTAAACTGAGACTTAACCAAAAATTTCAATTTCAAATTTACAATCTTCCAGTTTTCAACCAGTTTTACGGACTATAAAAAACTACATCAAAATGCCTTAAACATACTTAATAGCCAATATTTTAAAACACGTTAAATCATAATAAAAAATATCTTTATCTTTATCATATTCATAAAGTCCTTATTACAATAAAAAGGTTTTGTGATAACTTAATCGTAGTGTTTAGTACCGTGCCTGCATTGCGTGTTCCGATGTCCCAAGAGACCCTAAGCAGTAACTTCAGTTATGTGATAGTGATCACACTGAATGCGGCGCTAAACCGTTGGTTATTATGATCATGTCGCACGGATTCATTACTTATTTATTATTACAACTTCATTGTGTATTTCACTTGTAGTACGAAAACCAACCTTATTGTTATGAGTTTGAATTTAATTTAAGACGTTGAATGTCCATATGTCTAGCGTGGCGCATTATTTTGTCCCAGATGGCGTTCAACGTGTTAAAATAAGTAGTTCACTATCTCCCTAGTCGACTATAAAAGACGATAGCACAAAGGCAGTTTCTTTTGTACATCTGCAACTTGTATCATATAATATTTCCACATGTTCCTTCCAGTCGGGAGGCACGACAGTCCCGCTGGAGCATAACACGGTTCGCTTCGTGGACAACTTCAGCGCTGGTACTCGAGGCGCCTCCTCCACGGAGTACTTCCTGGAGCAAGGGTACGCGGTCATCTTCATGCACCGCCAGAAGTCGCTGGAACCCTTCACCCGACACTTCACTGGCCAGAAGCTACTTGATATGCTTGAAATCCAAGATCGAGGACCCAATACTACTATTTCGGGTAAGTTTACATGTATAGAGAATTTTATACTTATGCTTTTAATGTAATTAACGTGGAGACAAAGAATTAACGCGTGGGGCAAAGAACTTATTTGTCAGCGTGTACTTCGCGTGTATGTACACAATAAAAGTCAGTTTTTAGCACTTTCTACATCATTCTCTCATAGTCCCAAGAGTCCATTATCCTGAAAGTCAGGACAAAATGTTATTAATGTGTAAGACAGAATGTTAATGTTACGAAATATCTTCGATTTCATCATGATATTTTTACATCAATACTAATATTACTTTTATAAACTACATTTAAAAAACCCGGCTTCAACCGCCTCTTTTTTTGAAATCGGTTAATTAATATACTAAATCCAGTAAGTGTAACAAACACTTTTCTGGAAACCGCATTAAAATCGGTTCAGCAAATCGCGAGATAAACGCGCACAAACATACATACAGCATACAGGTTAAACTGAGAACCTCCTTTTTTGAAGTCGGTTAAAAATAACACCTTTCCTCCAGTGAAACCGGACAGCGTAGACGTCCTAGCTCCGATCCTCCTCCGCTACAAAGCTGCACACGCGGCGGGCGCCATCTTGCACGTGTCATTCACCTCGGTGTCTGAGTACTTCTGGTTACTGCGCGCCGCCTGCGAGTGCCTCGCCAACCTGGGCGCCAGGGCCGTACTGTACCTGGCTGCGGCCGTCTCTGACTTCTATATACCTAAGGATAGAGTAGTAAGTGGCACTATGACTTGTAAATTCTGAGTAATATGTAATAAGTGAATATTAAAATTGGTTTGTTGTTTTTTGTCTCGATCAAACTGCTGTATCGCTTTTAATGAATTTTGATACAGAATATGTAATCTTCTATACTATACTATGTCAAAATAGTATAGAAAGGAGCGTAGTCGGAGTAAAAATAAAAGATAAAGTGAAATTACAAAATATAAAAAACAAAACTAAATTTAAAAACATACTTACCACCTATAAGCGCCTGAAATGGAGATGGGCAGGACACATGTTAAGGGAAGAAAAAGAAAAGTGGACGAGAATAGTAACAGAATGGTACCCGCGAGATAGTAAAAGAAGCAAAGGTAGACAAAGCAAACGATGGGAGGATGACATAAAAAAGATAGCTGGTTCAGGATGGACACGTACTGCAAAGGACAGAATTAAATGGAAATCCTTAGAGGAGGCCTTTGTCGAAGGACAAGCTGTAAAAGAAAAACCAGTTCCCGATACAAGGATTCAACAATAAACAAATTGGAATTAAACAAAAAACATCCAAAACTTGAAACGTAATACGAGTATCTAGACTATATTATTATTCATATTGTATACTGCAAGTTACAGCAATAAAGGCTTATTTTATTTTTTATTTATTTTTTTATGTAATCTTTTAGAGTCTAGACACACCAAAGTTAAAAAGGTTGTGCTGTCAAGTTACCTAATCTAGGGTGCTTAATTAGAAACATATCTATTCAAAATTGTTTATAGTAGGTACTTACCAAATGTAATCATCCACTAATACCAACTCTAATGTCAAAAGTTTTGAATACAACTGCATCTTTACCACAAAACAATAAAGCTTAAACTAGCCTACAACTCTATCTATAGCTCACTATTACAACTGCCTTCTATATCCTTCAGCCCACCCACAAGATGCAATCAGCGTGTGGAGCTCCCATCATCCAGTTGCACTTAGTCCCGAAGATGTTGGCCCCGCTGGTCAACTTGTGGGTCCCGGAAGCCTACGTCGTGTCCTTCAAGCTGGAGACTGATGAGAACCTGCTTATTCCTAAAGCAAGGGCTGCCTTGGAGAAGTATAAGCATAAGGTAAGTTGGACATAGAGATTATTTTTTGTCATCAAAAAGTTATACTTTCGTAAAAGTTAATTTTGTATACATTTTTTTTTTGAGTCGCCACTCTGTAAAAACATTAAAACATCGAGTAAAAATATGAATAATCAATAAGAAATTCTTTGGGTTGTAATCAACTATTATTTTGGTTTATTTCTGACTAGCTACTCCAACGCGGTTTCACCTGCTGCTCGGCTCCTTTTGACCGCAGCGTGGTGTTTTATAGCCTTTCTCGATAAATGCACTATCCAACGCAAAAAGAATTACTTAAATCGGACTAGTAGTTCCGGAGATAACCGCGTTCAAACAAACGAATCTATTCAGCTTCAGCAGTAATAGTATAAGATGTTCATTTATGGCTAATGTTGGGTGCATTGGTTACAGATGGTGGTAGCCAACCTCCTGCAGACCCGTCATCACCGGGTCATCCTGGTGTCTCCCGACATCTCGCAGGAGATCGTGCTCACCAGGGAGGAAGTCCATGCTGGTAAAAATTTGTTCTTAACCCATAATGATTTTTTCTCCGTTTAGTTTGGGCTGTAAATATTTGTTTGTAACTTAGTTATCTGTATCCAAAAACCCATTTCACAGTCTTTATACTCATACGTGTTCAGAGTGCCAAGCACGAATAACTATCGCATTCGTAACGTAATAGTATCAGGCGCGTTCGGCGCTCTGATTGGCCGGCTCAAGTGTACCAACCAATCAAAACTCTTAACTCGCTTGATACTATTACGACGTTAACTACTACATATTATAGGCAACTTGGTTATGATATGACTAATACATCACATCAACTTACCCTACCTACCTCTCAAAATTTACATTACATTAATAAAATATTATCGACTCTGCTAATTTGCATTAAAGTTGAAAATCTAATAACAAATTGCCTATCTGGTAAAATGTGAAAAATGTTTGGTACAGGCGTGGACATCGAGTCGTCGATAGTGTGCGAGATAGTCCGCCTGCACGGGCTGCACATGCGAGTGGCGGGCGAGCCGGTGTCGCCGCCACGCTCGCCGCGCTGATCCGTGCGCGCGCGGCCACGACTCTACCTCACCAACGAGTAGCCGCGCCACCGCCATTTCCAAAACAGTGACTAAATATTGACTTCTATGTGCTGTTTACCCTCTACAACTATGACGTAAGTGACATAAATCGAACTTAAACGTGTTAATCTGAACCTTCTGTGTGTGTTTTTAAGTGTTTTTTCGTGGACTGTACTTGATTCTAAGCTGATTTTCTTTCGTATTGTTGTTGTAACACCTGAGGCCTTAGTACGAGTTTGATTTACGTTTAAAGTATTCGAAACGAGTACGCGTTCGGCATTCTGATTGGCCGGCGCCAATGAACCAACCAATCAGAGCGCCGAACGCGTACTCGTTACGATTACTTTAAACGTAAAACAAACTCGTACTAAGGCCTCTGTATACTGTCGATCACAATAGTGTTGAAGTTTCTAGTATGTTACTTAAATTACTGTATACTAAAATATGCGAGAAAATCCGCTTAGTATTTCTGTAAGCATACAGGATGTAGTGATGTTGTGTATCAAAGTATCTTATATCGATAAATCTATGAACGCTACTGTAAGTACTAAAAGTCGATAGACATATTTAATCGAGTCTTTATAAAATATTATAGCGAATATTTTTTATTCTGGTGTTTGTTGTAAGTATCTTTGTGACACTAGTGTTGTAATATCGACTTGTAAAACTATCGATTGTTTCTTAATCGATATAAAAACTTCTCGAATAGGTTATCGATCGCTGCTATTATGTTATTGATTGATGATATTAGTATCTTTTACCTTATTATAACTATACTATCTTTTTGCATAGGGAAAGGATACCTTCACGTTTTATCGATAATTTATTTAATATTGACACAATACTTTTTATTAGTATTTGTTAAGTAATCAATTGAATCATCAATATTTATCTAGTAGTCGTATTCGATGTTTTACTGTAAACACGTGTTGAGATAAAAAAACACGTTGCCTTAAGAAAAAAATATAAAAATATTGTGTGGTAAAAACAAAAGCGTCAGAAACATAAATCGATGTTTTAAAAAAACTATCATGTCTGACGTACATGGTTCATTGACACCAAACATATCGGTTGTGGGTCATATCACACGATACGATAGCACAGCCCTTGGCCGTTTTAAGGTCGATCCCAAACCCGATACCCCCCAATATCGGCACCTAAAAATACAATGATGAAACTCCACGAAATATTGACATTACTGTAAATGTTACAAGACTAAAAAAATATCTATTGTTATCGTTGTGTTGCCAGTCTAAATTATTATTTGTTGATATATAAAAAAGATTTATATCAGTTGCGTCTTTTGGCTATTTATAAATTGTATTTAAATATTAAATGTTTCAACTATATGTGCCCCAGTATGTTCTGACTAGATTTTATATGTCTGTATTGTATAACTATGGAACTTAATGTCTAAGTGTAACATAGTTTTAGACTGTAAATAGGTATAATATTCAAAATATATCTATCATGAACTTCCAATAGGATTTTAAATGTTTACTCTATAAAAACTATATCATAATTGTACTATTTATTATTGAATTTTGTCATGAGGTAACACTGGTTTATATCAAAAACGGTTGTAGAAAAAAGTTTTTATATCGTTTTTGGTATAAAGAGTTTAATTGTTATTAAATGGTTTTTGATGTGTAGACATAATTATATTAGTGTTATATGGGTTATATAAGATTTATAATTAATGTTATACCTATGTATTCTTTATATAAATGTTTTATAGGGCCTTAGGTGCAGGTGAATTAACATTGAAATTAAAAACTAAATAATTAGAAGTCAACGTCACAGGTTTTTAGAGAGAGAACAGTTTTTCGAAATCGCTAAAAACATTTGAAATGAATTAAAACACAGTCTGGTGTTAATGGGAATTGAGTGTCCCCCTATTTTATGGGACTCAACATAACTGGTTATTAATGGGCGTTACATTGTGTATTTGTATCTCTGCCTATATCTTCAGAGATGAAAAGGCGTGGCGTTATATTATTATTGTACACCTGCATCTTATATTTATTCAAAAGTATCAATTTTATTGATATTGCTATTTATATTATTAAAAAATATCTTTTTATTTACAACTCTTTTACATACGACGTGGTTATTGTATATTAGTTCTTATTACATTTAGGTAAGGTTTAAATGATTATATTTATGTACTGTAAAGTTATACGGGATGTTCCAAAACTCAACGATAAAGATATGGTGATAGACTCTGATAAAGAAGTAAAAATATATCACTTTTTTTTCATTGAGTTTTGGTGCATACTGTATATGTTTTTTTTTATTTGTATATTAATGGTTAAATGTTGTCTCGTGTTAGGCTTAGGCTTTTGTTTCTACTTCTAACTAGATTAACTCCTCAGGACCACAACTTTGTAAGACGGATATATGATAGCATTTTGATTAAAAAGAATCTTACGACTCATATTTAAATACATAGATTAATTACTGTAAATTGGAAAATACAAGCCTTATTTTCGAATGCCTTATTTGAAATTTTTGTATAATAAATTTTTGTCAGACATAGTTAGTTTAAAGTTTATATGGCTTATATGTTTGCTATTATCGAGCCCGACTACTTTCGCCCTGCACCGGGGGTCTTTAATTTAGGCTAAAGCGGTTTCTCGAAATAGTATATGTAAGTCGTATAAACTATATTCAAATCTTGTTTAGAAGGTCATTGGTACTATCTTTAAGCATTTCTAGTAGTTATTTAAATATTTTGACGTTATGTTATTACAAATTAAATATTTTACACTAATACCTTGTTCTACCACTTCTGATTTTGTTATAATTAGTATAACTGGCAGATTATTTCACGTATTTTTCACTTAATACGAACTGTATCAAACTATGTGTCAGTTACGCTAAGAGAAACTTATTCTGTACCGTAAAAGGGGTGAATAGAGACAGAAGAGTGGTGAATAGATATTGGGAAATTATTCACAGTATCGATTCACCCCTCTGCTGTTCCGATTCACCTTTCGATCCCTATTCACCTCATTTTACCGTAGTCGTGAAAAAGACCTTTACGGTATTGTTTTAACGATATTAAAAAGTTTTACATATCAAAAACACAATGGTCCATCAGTGGACACTTCCATGTTTCGTTTTAAATATTAAATAAATTGTGTTGTACGAATTAAACTTACCTAACTTGACTGACTCTTACTGAGCCATATTTACTACATCAGTTGTTACTTGTCTTGCGTATAACTATGGGCCCAAGCCTGGCTTGAAACTAGTCGAGTCACCTCGAACAGTTACGGGAATAAACCGTACAACAAAACCAACTTTTAAATGTTTGTTATTAGTAGTTTATTTGTTTCTCATGTTAGTCATTGTACTGATAATTTTAACACAATTAATTTTGTTGATAAGCTTCCTAGATAACTTGGTGCCGGTTTTATCGAGTTTCAAGTTAGTACTAGTGAACTCTTATTGTTCTTTGAGTTTTGTTATCTGTTAGTATTACTTCGTATTTCTATGATTCTGGTAGACAGAGAAACGTTTTTATGCGATATATTATTATAACGTCATCTCTTTCTTACGAAACTTCATATAAGATCTGCAATCAAAAGATGATTTATAACTCTTTGCATTTTTTGTATTTTAAGACAGAAATACATTTATATTGATTTAGCATTTACAAAATGGTGACATGCAAATCAAGATAGTGATAAAAACAGTTACTCTGAAAACTTAGCTATGTCGATGAGACAAACATTGTCCTTTTTAAAGTTTATTTTACAAAAATAATTCTTCTAGAAACTACGTTAAAAGAAATACGACTTCAACCCCCTCTATTTTTGAAACCGGTTAATAAATGTATGTAACGAACACTTTTCTGAAAACTGCATCAAAATCGGTTCAGCCAATTGCAAGATAAGCGCGCTCAAACATACATACATACAGCCATACAAGTCAAAATGATAACATCCTCTTTGGAAGCTACGAATAGAGTGGATAACATTAATTGTGTTAAAATTGTGTATAGACAATCAAACCTCTGTTGCATCAGGTGCTCCATGTAGAATCTATTCTTCAGGGCTCGTCCACAAAACTGCGATGCGAATTCGCAACGCAGAAATTTACGACACAAATTGCTGCGATGCGATTTCGTGCGACAAGGCGTCTCCTATGGTGACCATTCCTTCGACGACCGCTAACCGTACTAAACGTATTTTAAATTGAAAACTAGGTCGTGATATGGATCGTAAAAAGAATTGTACACTTCTGTTATTGCTTAGGAGATAAAGGAAAAATAAACAAAGAATATTTTGGGTAGATAAAATGTTGATGCGCGATGCGAATCAGTTCGCAAGTTCTTGCAATGCGTAGAGGGAGCTCGCACATTTTTGCGATGCGACTTCGCATCGCAGTTTTGTGTACGAATCCTAAAAATATTCGTTGTACGAGCGAGAGCTCTTTTATAAAATAGTTGATCAATCAAAGGTTTTTAATCGATTTAGTGTTGTCTATCCAAGTTTTTAAATGTATGATAGATAATAATTATAAGTGTTATTCTGCTGCACGGAATGGGAAATATAACTTCTATTTTACGGTATGAGATACAATAACAAGTTACAATACGTGTTACAAGCATGTAGAGTAACGCGCAACGTGTATCACGAACGTGTATCGTTATGTATCGTGTATGTCACGTGTCAATATCTAAGTGAATTCGAAGATCATTTATTTACACGTCTTGTATACAATGGCGGACTTGATGCCTAGTGGCATTATATGTAACATTCTGTGTAGCAGTCTATATATTCACACTCCTTAACTCAGGAATGTTGGTTAACATCAAGAGATGGACATTTACTTTTCTTTTCTTAGGATTTTTTTTTATATTTGATGCGAAACAAACTTTAAATGTAATCGATAATTAATCGATTTAATGTACCAATGTATATACCAAATATTTAATGGACTTTTACTAAGTCACTATAGCGCAAATACTGAAAGGTTACTCAATTTTAAATTGTACTTATGTCTGTCATTTTACAAAGAGATTGTAGTGACAGAACTACATTTAAACGCGACTTAAAATTGAGCATTTGAACATATGCCCTTTGCTTTGGTAGCGGTTGACTGCTACAGTACCTACGTATTGCAACCACAGATTAAACATAATATTCTACAAGTTACTACAGACTGCCCACTAAATTATTGCCAAAACAATGAACAAAAACGATATTATTATCGAATAGCTCGTTCCTAATGTTCTAGAACTGATATTAAAATGTGTATATTTTTTTTATTTGTAAATTGGATTTGTTTTCTATTATTATGTTAGTTCAATACTATGTAGGCACACGGGAATCTATTCGCGACCTGTTATGATCTTAAATAAGAAAATCCTGGACATCCTTCGGGGAATATAAATGCTATTTTAAATTGAATTAAATCTTAATTCATCATGCTGTTTAAAATTGAACTAAATCTTAATTCATCAAGTTTTTAAAAGATCACACGTTTGTCTACAGTAGTCTACACGTAAACGTCAAAAAATGCATAGTTAATAAAGGTTTCCCGTGTATTCTCGTGTATTTACATAATGTCGGAAAAACATAAGGAGAAAGTTAAATTTAAAAATTATTTATTTGGAAAGTGTATTAAAGCGCTGTGTTTAAATTGTAAGTAAATGTGTGTATTTGGATATAAAGGGTATTTATCGTATAGATGTTGTGACGGAGTGGTGTTTATATCAGACTTATAGAAATGTTCTATGTAGATACATATTATACCTGTTTGTGTGTTTGTATGTTTGCGTGGGGATTTAAACTCCAATTTTTATTGATAACACATTCAGATTAACCACTCATTAATGTATTGAACATGGATTTTTACACAAAGAAGTAAAATGTTCCAAAATCTACCAAAATGGTAGCTTTTCAAGTTACTGGCAACATTGGAATAATAACTCCTACGCACACATGCAAACAATGATTGTGTAAGTGTATTATCATGTTTTATAACTATTATATCATATTTTATGAAACGTTGATGTGTGAACAACCCGGTCCTCATGTTCTTCAAGTATTCAATCCATATATTATTACCTAGGTGTACTCTACGAATCTATTAGGTAATAACATCCTTATGTACTTGACAATAAGGTCGAATACAGTTTTAACTCTTAACTCTGCCGTCGTGAAAGGAGTTGGCGACTGTTCTTAAACAATAGTCTGGCTTATGACCACAAATAAATATCTTTATAAGAACTTGATTATTTTTTATAACAAGTAAATACTCAGAAATACAATTAAAACACATTTTTTTTAAATAAGAGAGTTAGAAATGTTATAATACAGCTCTTCAAAATTTGTGGTAATCAACTGCTATGAAGTTCAACGCTTATTACTTATGTTTTTTTATATAAAACTTTACAAACATACAATTTTACATGCACACGCCAATGTTGGACGGTTGGTCCATAGTCACTAACTTCTTCACGATGGCAAAGTATTCTCAGCACAATACAATACAGCTAGATGCTAGACTAGTTTCAAATGTCTTTCTTTCTTTCTACTGCTAGATCTGATATTAAAAGTGTGTGAGCACGAATTTAATTTAGCAGGTAATCTAACTTTGTTTAGTATGAATAAATATATACAACTTAAAATACAAATAACTAAAAACTAAAAATGTTCACCTTAAAAATAATAAAAATGTTATCTTAAGCTGAAGGCATGAGTCGCGTAGAACCTAACGGGTGACCGGGGCTCCGGCTCGACGTGCAGGAGAAGAAACGGCGTGGTTTTTAGTCAGTAAGAGTCTGGCACTCCCTCCCGCCTCACCCAGGCGGGAGCAGGAAATCGATGATTTTCCACACTTAAAAAAAAATAAAAAAAATTTCATGATCGCTATCGTGTGGTGGGGTGCCCAAAAGCAGATATATAAACTTTGTCATACCTCCATATGATCATACCTATTTATTTAAAAAAAATACTTTCAACAATATTCTGACATGTCATATTAATCAGTTCTTATGTCGCGTCGTTACAAATTACGAACATACCTATAGAATTAAATTCGTGCTCTCTCTCTCTCTCTCTCTCTCTCTCTCTCTCGCCAAGAAAACTTTTTTACTTGTACCTCTAAGAATGAAATGCTTTCGTGGTGTTATGTAACTTGTAGTAGTTATATATATAAACATTGATTTCAATAATTAAAGTAACAATTCTAAACTACTAACGCAATAACTACCATAAAATGGGGTGAATAGGGATCGAGTGGTGAATAGAGACAGAAGAAGGGTGAATAGATGTCGGGAAATTCTTCAAACTATCGATTCACCCCTTATACCCCTGTCCCTATGCACATCTCGATCCCTATTCACCCTATTTCACCGTACGCTACGCTAAGTTACATGGTTTTTAAAGTATACGAATAAAAGATCAAAGGGGTCACAATTTTCTTTCAAATGTCAAAATAATAAAGATTAAGTTGTGACCAATAACGTTGAACAAAAGCGTAATATCACTTAGAAATTATTAAAGCACCAAAATGTCAGTGGTGTATTTATGTGTGCGTGTACTTGCAACACCATAATGTATGAAGTGTAATGACGGGCCATGTCACGCGACAGTTGTCCTACGTGTCAATGTGTGTGTATTCTGCGTGTAAGTGTATAGTAGCCAGAGGCCTTAGTACAAGTTTGATTTACGTTTAAAGTATTCGAAACGAGTATGCGTTCGGCGCACTGATTGGCCGGCGCCAATGAAGCAACCAATCACAGCGCTGAACGCCTACTCGTTACGATTACTTTAAACGTAAATCAAACTCGTACTAGGGCCTCAGGTGCCACAGTCGTTGTTTCAAGAGACTTTGTCCGCCTTTTTTTACATCATCAAATACAAATTATCATAGATACTTCCATCCACGAAAGCATGAAGTTCTATTTCCAAGTTCTACCTAAGTATTGTGCCTACAGTTCCATATTAACGTACTGTACTGCGAGTTTATCTAACATGGGTATCTATCGTTGTGATATTGTACTGTCTATGCTACTCATGGAGACTTTACTACACGTGGATTAAATACTTTGGCATATTTTAATGTATTTACTTGTTTTATTTTATTCACCCGTATGTTTTTGATGAGCAAACGAACAAACTGACGGATCACCTAATGGTAAGTTATCGGTAACGCCCAGGAACACCGTGTATGATCCGGTAATCTCGGTATCGCATATCTGACGTTTACAGGACCCAGGAGGGCCTAAAGTCCAGTCAGTAGACTATTACAGGCCAATAAAAAACTAGTGAATAGCCAGGTGGGAAAACTGGGAACTCTTCAGCAACTAACTTAGCGTCACGGATATAATTAGGTCCGAACTTGGTCGTAATATTCATACAATGCAATCGAAACTTAAACAGACTTAACTTTTAATCTGTAACCTATGTACATACACGTATGTACATAAATATGGTAGAAGACTAAGGAGAGCTATCGTATTTTTGGTAACTAGATGGCGCAAATGTAGCTAAAGGGATTTTTTGTCCAATCACTGTCGCTGTCAAAAATTGAACCTCCAATGTTGTGACTCAAGCCAATTCCCTAGGCAAATGAACGAAGAACGAGACGTTCACACTAGTGTCACCTGGTGAACAAAAATACGGTAGATACCCCCCATTGTTATCGATTTTACAAGTTACCGAACTATTGCTGACCATAGTTTTCGAAAATAAAACAAAACATGAAATGACAGTTTCTCAGTTCAAAGTTGTCATGGCCTGTCAGAATTGCACTGAAATATTTGTAAATACATAAGAGTACTCGTTTACGTGGTTACATTAGTGGCGAATGTTATAGTTTGCATTATTTTTGTTCAAAATTGACCGAATATGGTGAGTAAGTCACACGCTATTTGAAACCCAAGATCCCAGTATCTATAGTGGACCTAGCAAGTAGGAACGCATCCCGATTTGTTCACAACAAAATAAAAAGAAAATGAAGAGAAGTACCAGCACGAACGATTCCTTCAGCGCAAGCAGCACTCAGTCTTTTCCAAAATCTCTGCAAAACATATTTCAGGATGATGAAATAGAAGACGTTGTGGGTGAAGTTAAACTTTCAGAATCACAAAAAAGTGTAGCCATGTCAAATGTATACTCTATGGACTTCACAGACAGTAGCTCGGAGAAACACAACTCCTCAGGCATGGAGACATATATCTTAGAGTGGGACAGTGAGGACAGCGAGTCTTCAGCTCTGCAAGGCAATGTTAGCATCATCAGCGTGAAAGACAGGCCTGCCAAACCTGTTCTTGTCAACAAAGACGCACAATGTGATGTCACGAAGAAAATAAGCAGATCTTCCTCCACCAGTCTAAACAAATGCTCCATTATCGCACAAGAAATATTTACACAAACCAGTAAAACTATCATAGAGCTAGCTGAGAGTGACGGCGCGGTCAGAAAGCGGATCGACAGTAAAACATTAGAAACACAAACTTCCTTCATATCAATAACAGAAAACAAAACTTTCGAGTATAGAATAGAAGTAACTGGTGCAACACAAAATTTAATTAGGAACGAAGTGGGTGATTCAGGCGACAACTATCTCGATGTTATAACATCCCCACAAATATTTCCGAACTCCATCGACGATGGTTCATCAAAATTCGTAACATCCGAAACAGATAACGAAAAATCCGATGACGGTACCAGTAATAATAGTTCGTGTAGCAACGACAAGCTTGCGGACGTAGTGAATGACGATTTTAAAGACAACGATCTGCTGTATGACGAATCGAATGAAGATCGATACGAGAACACCAGTGAATTTGAACAATCGCCAAACAATAGTGATATTGAAGAAGATTCACTCATGGAAAATAAAGCTAAAGCTAGTAAACATGACAATGAAAGTGACACGTGTAACACGCCAATATCTGTTGACAATGATGTCGCTGAACTGTACACAAAATTATCTGAAACCGTTGAATTCCACATGCCGAACCCGGATCAAGAAAAGAGACGTATTGGGTACCTAACTCCTTTAACGGAGGAGTCAGTTGTTAAGAAAGATAGTACAGGGGAGATAGAATGTAGCTCATCTCATAACATCATAGACCTGACCGGAGACGACAATGACGTATTGTTTACAAACAATGCTGGAATAAAAGTCAAGATATTCCCCAAAAGTGAATCTAACAAAGAAATCGAAAGTTTCAAATTGCCCCCCATACAGGGGAATCACAATAACTCTGATGGCAACTTGAACTTTCTATTTAATAGCAGCAAAGGAACGAACAAAAGTAACTCATCGGGCGTTAATGATGATCGAAGAGACAGAAATTTGAATAGAAATATGGATAGATGGGAGTTAGGGACTAAGGATCTGGCATCAGGAGAGAGTCCACTAATTAGTGGAAGGAGTGGTAAGTTTACAAAGTGCAAAATCGACTATCTGGTAGGTAACTAGAAACTCCTATTTTGTTAGTGAGTAAACCTCCGTAGTAAGATGCTCACCCATCATACAATATTTCCTATCCCTAAAAGTAACATCAATCCCTTTTAAATTAGACGCTGAGAGAGCGTCACACGGGTCCGTGCAGCTGCCTCCAATCCACGTAGAAGGCCACGTGGCGCACAGCCCCAGCAAACCTGATCAGCACTTGAGTAACTCGAGCAAGACAGACGTTGTGGCGTCCGAACCCACCTTGCCGATCAGTATCAAGGAGAAAATTAGGGAACTGAAGATGAGTCACAGACCACGGAACTCTTGGACTAATTCTAAGTATTAGTAAGAATAATTAGATACTATTTACCCTAAAAATAAACATCTGGCAAATACGTAACACGCGGGTGTTGTAAAAATATACGAAGGGTTCGAAACCTACCAACGGCAAGTACCAATGTGACTTTTTCCGAGTTATATGTACTTTCTAAGATTATTTAGACACCACTGACAAACGGTGAAGGAAAAACATCGTGAGGAAACCTGGACTTATAATTTCTAATTATAAGTTTAAAATCGCCAACCCGCATTGAGCAAGCGTGGTGATTAATGCTCTAACCTTCTCCGTGTGAGAAGAGGCTTTGCTCAGCAGTGGGCATTTATAGGCTGTTGATGATGACTTTTTATTTATTTACACTTCTTGCAATTGTATACAATGTCGGACAATGCCTAGTGGCATTCTCTAACAGTTAACCTTAGGGTGATGCAGAGAGACACAATTGTAGGTGTAAAAGTTTAACACTGTTGTAATTTTTGAACATAAATTGACATGTAGATTTATTTATTTATTTTATTTATTTATTTTTCCACTTACATTTATCTTTACAGGTTAATGCCCAATGCGATAAATGTGCTCATCTTAATATCTACCTATAGCATATTACATATAATGCATTCCTTGTGAATTCACCCAGAGTACAACAAAATAGGTCAATTTCATTAGAAATCAGGTTGAGCGTGCGAAGTGCACGCGTCAGCGGCGCTTCCCTTAATAGGTTGGTCCGACCGCGGGGTTCTGCCAGCAGTGGCGGTCGCCGGCGTCGCCACACGTACTTATCCGGAACACATAGATTCAGCTGTCCTAAAATGACTGCATTGTGCAGCTTTCCTCTTAATATTTTAAACAAATGTGAGGTGAGTGCAAAATCCCGTCTTACCCTTAACTCATTGTACCCCACCATGCCTAAAATAAATAATGTGGGATACATCAATGGGTAAAACGGATAGACCCCCATAGTACCTCAAATATAAATATCTAATAAATTTATTTTGAATTCTCTCCAGCATGAGACTATATTTAGCTTCATGCGGAGACCAGATGACTGCGTTACATTCTAACTGGCTCCTAACTAGTGCGTTATATAGTGTGATGATGGCTTTTATGTTAGTAAATCCACGGACCGTTCGGAGCATGAAGCCTAAGTTTCTAAAAGCCTTTTTACAACAACCCATGCCGTGTTCACGGAATGTCAGACCGTTGTTAAATCTTACTCCCAAATCCTTGACTTCCCCGACTCGCGCCAAAGGCTTCCCCTCAATGTGATAGCTGCCCTCAATAGGATTATGTGCACGCGAAAACGCAATTGTAACACATTTCGAACTATTGAATTGTAGGAGATTTTCTTTACTCCAGCTCACCACTCTATCAATGTCCCTCTGTAACCTGACACAATCCTCCTCAGTTCTTACTGCAAGAGATAATTTGAGATCGTCAGCAAACAACAGACAATTAGCATCTTGGACTACTTCTGGCAAGTCATTTACCACCAGAAGGAAACTCAAAGGTCCAAGATTACTACCTTGACTCACTCCTGATCTAGTGAAATATGGATCCGACACATGTCCCGCATATTCAACATATTGTTGCCTATCCCTTAAATAGCTGGCAAAAAACTGAAGTGTATGTGGGGTGAAACCAAAGCTAGCGAACTTCGTTAGCAACACGTCATAGATATATATATATAATTATACATATCACACAATATATACTAATCTATATATATAAAAGAAAGTCGTGTTAGTTACACCACTTATAACTCAAGAACGGCAGAATAGATTTGGCTGAAAATTGGTAGGGAGGTAGCTTAGTGCCAGGAGACCGACATAGGATACTTTTTAAACAATTTTTTTTTTTTTTACTTTTTACCGAAAAACACAGATCTGAAAATGGGATTACGCGTACGAAGTCGCGGGCAGAAGCTAGTTAAATATAATGAAGAAATATTAAAATATATACGTAATGCAAAACGAACAGTAGACAAATAAGTATGGGACATATATATACCTACCTATATACCTACCTTTACCTACATTACCTTACATAATTGCACCTATTAGATTCGTAACATTCTTAACAACAAAACAGTCGTATAATTAGCACGTGTTTACCAGTGGGTCAGGCAGTAGAAGCGGTTCTCCCAGCACGGTGTCTCCTGATGAGAGCCGGGTGACAGATGCTGCGGAGCGAGGGTGTGAGCTCGTCTGTATCGAGCTGCTCAAGAAACTTCGCTCACAGACTTGGTTAGTTGTGTACATTCCAATAACTAACCTAATGAAAGGCGGGTAAAGCATAATATCATCTGATGCGCGCCCAAGGTGCAAGCTATTGCCATATACATAATGTGAATGATTCCAGAATTTGTGCTGTTACTACGAATTTAAAAAATCTTGAGAGTCTTCATTCAACTTGGAAATCCCTTACTCGCCAGTTGCGCTTGCGAGACGACCAGTAACGGAGTCAAAAGATACTTCATCATTAGATTTCATTTATTGCCATAAGTCCTTCCTTTAATTGTCGATTAACAAATAAAGTTAACTTTAAAATTTTTCATTTAGATCTGGAAGACATTTTGGAAGACACATGTTGAGTTGTTCCAAAACATGTCTCGTCAAAACTACAGTTTCAGTTTATTTGTCTCTCAGGTTTGAAGTAGCAGATTCGTTAGAGGACCTCCCTCGATTAATGGACAAGTTTTGGAGCGTCATAGCGGAGCATAGAATCGCAGACCTAATACGACAAGTAACTGTTTACTTCTAATAATCTTAATTTAGTTTGTTCATATTCAAATTAAAATAAAAATATAATCAGAGCTGTAACAATTTTGTAAAATTTGTTACTTAAATAAAATAATCGTTAAGGTTCCCTAGCTCCAAAAATGCAGAATAACATCTATTTAAACTATGCAAAGCTAATCTTAATGTATATAAAAATATATTAATGTAGGTATGTGGTTTTTTAATAATGTTTAATACGTTTAAAATTGTCATATTCTCTGTAAGGTGACAGCGCACGTGGAATCTCCGAGAACACAAGTGGCCCGCGCCGCGTGCAATACTCTTGCAACTATACTCAAGAACACCAATTACACCAAGAAACCGGTTAGTTGTTGCTTAGCATTTTGTACTATACTGTGGACTCATACTCAGAATTATCTCCTGTATCTTTGATGCCCTTACCAATACATAATTTCATATGCACATCACACGCCGAGCTGCGTCCGACAGTAATTGATAAATCAAACAAACATCCGTGCGGAGAAATATTATGCTGCATTCAAACTGCACCAACTATACAGTCAAATTCATTTATCTTCAGAGATAACTCATTTATAATTCCAGGACTTTTACGAAGCAGTTACAATATTATTAATTAAGACTGGCAGCTTCAGTCGTCCTGTGAGACGAGCTGCCAACGTGGCTCTGGACGATATAGTCTGTGGCGTGGACTTGAGCCATGCAATCACTGCCCTCTGCATACATGGTGCTAGGTAATTTGGCGATCCAATATTTGTTGAACTATTTCTAGTCCTGATTATTATTAAACCTGGTATAATTTTCTGCAAAATCTTTCTATAATCTTTGCATGCGAAAAAGCAATTTATTTGAAACAGCAGCATTGCCGAATGTCATAATTATAAATATATCTTTTAGCCATAGCCCTTGCATAGCAAGCGTCTAAGTCTAGAAACCTATATTAGAGTACCCCAAAGCACATAGTCCGTAACCAGAGCAATAAATGAACAAAAAATTACACTAAACCTCGTAGCTCGTAGGTGTGTCGTAGACCATGGCTCGTAGCTCGTAGCAGGTGTGTCGTAGCAACTCGTAGCCGTTCCCATGGATCGCAGCCCGTAGCGCAGTAGTTCATGACAAATACCTACGAAATAAATATTTTTGCCACACTTTCCATACAAAGTGGTATTGTACGATTGAAAAATTATCAAATAATATGTAATTAAGACATTAAATCGTGTAGCACGTAGCAGGCGTTTCGTAGCTCGTAGACCGTAGCCACGTATCCTTGCTGATTTCTCTCAGTGTAAAATAAATGTTGTCAATCCTTAAAAATATATTTGTTCTATATTCAGTCACAAGAGTGCGCTAGTGAGATGCGCGGCCGCGCGTCTGCTAGTGGTGTGCTGCGCGCTGGGAGGCGGGGGGCGGGACTTGCTGCGCACACGCCCGCCCACCGCCGCCTGCGCACGCAAGCACGCGCTCCGCTCACTCGCGTTACTGCTCGATGATAAAAGCACTGAAGCTAGGTATGTGAACTTAAATATATAAGAAAGATGGCTGAATTTTGAATATTATTATGATTCAGTTAAAATTTTAACATCTTGACTTTGTTTTTTGAGCTTTTAGAAGCATCGCTTCCCGGGTTTAATGTCATTTCATATTAAAATAAAAATAAATGTTTCTCAAGTATTTGCATTGGAATGTTAAGAAATAAGTAAAATAATGCATTCTTTCAGAAAATACGCCGAACGTTTATACTCAATGCTGCGTCCACTAGCAAACTTTGAGGCTTATTACCTAACTGACGTGGACCTGGACACAGCGTCGCGGCAGATGAAGAAATACGACCAGCTACTGCTGTGCGGGCCGCCGGAGAGCAGGTGACGTCACACTAGGACTAATGACGCGCCAGTGTGACGTCATCACATTGTAGAGTGACCAACGAATGATATTGACATAAGTATTAGATTCTTCGTGTCGATCATTGATTTACTTTACTCATATATAGTTTGCGTTGAATTAAGGGAAGAAAATACTGGTATGAATAGATGCCTTCTCTATTTATTTTATCGACGACGATGTATACGAATCTTTTAGTGCTTTTCTGATTGTATAAATAAATATATAAATGTAATAATCCATTAAAAACACAACAGCATAATTATAAACACAAAAATAATGAAATGTAAACGTTTACTGTCGTTGTTTGGGTACCACGGGACTTTTGATTAGGATTTTAGTTTAGTTTTAAATAAATTAAAACATGCAAATAAAACTTTTCCGACTGTAATAGTCGAATGCATTCTTGTTTTAAATATATGTGTATACGACAATTTGGTAACAATTACATACATTATAACATCATTTTTCGCGTCAGTTTATTAAAAATTTTCGCAATTGAACTATCGAAGAAAATATAAAAACAGTGTTATTAAGTACTTAATTTACTACTTATTTAGATTCTTATTTTCATGTGATTACAAACGAGACATTTTCTCTAAATAAAGAATAAGAATACTTATGTATTCACGCTGTATTTATGTATATTGTACAGCGTGTAGCCCATCTATTAACCTAAGAAAATATCCATTGTATAATATGGTCCTAACCGTATGACTGACGGAGAGACAAGATGAATATAAAGTTCAACCTGGTTCAGGTAATAGACAGAATATGAAATTCAGTCCTTCTACTCGGATATTAATAGACATATATGTATATACATCGTCCAAAATCGAAAATTTCCACTCAAAATGTCGGCAGTGTTCTATTTCCACATATATATAATGTATATAAGTTCCGTGGTACCCAGATAACATCAATTGATAGTTAATCTGTAGTTCTATAATATATAACTAAAACAAAATTTGTTTTCGTAATGGAAATAGAGTTTTGTAAATATATATATTGTATTTACATTATATCTCGATGCTTGTTTTATAAACATTTTAATCTGTGACAGTTAATAAGTAGTTTTTCACTGTGAGTTTGTATGGCCACGGTTCTAAAATAAGTATGACATTCAGATTTATAGTAAACCATGTAGATTATGTACTTTGTTTTATTTTAAGCTAGCTTCTGCTAGCGGTTTCGCCGTCGGTCCTGTTCGATAAGATATAACCTATGTGTTTATTCAAACCATAATCTACCCTTGTTCCAAATTTCATCGTAATCCCTTTAGCCGTTTTGGTGTGAAGGAGTAACATACACACGAACTTTCACATTTATAATATTAGTAGGACTAGCGCCCTTATCAAACTTCTTTACACAGTTTTGACAATGTATAGGTACACATTATTCTAAAAAACTACGTTAATAAAAACCAATGTCAACCCCTCCTTTCTTTAAAGTCGGTTTATTAATAACTAGCTTTTACCCGCGGCTTCGCTCGCGTCACAAAAGGATAAAAGTAGCCTATACCAATACACACAGCGCCATCTATACCAATTCTTTTGTTTTCCCTCGGGAATACCAAAATTTTCCGGGATAAAAGGTACCCTATTATTTAATCCGGACTTCTAATTTTACGTCTGCAAAAATTCAAAGCAATCGGTTTAGAAGGTACGGCGTGAACAAACAAACAAACAAACTCACTTTCCCATTTATAATAGTAAGGAAGTAAGGATACTAAAACCTTCTCCTAAGTGTAACAATACTTTTCTGTAACGCACATCAAAATCGGTTTAGCCAATCTTGAGATAGTCGCCGACAAACATACATACAGGTGAATGAGAACCTCCTTTTTCTTTTCGAAGTCGGTTAAAAATAAGATTTCATTATCGAACTGATATAGAGACGGAAAGATAGAGCAACAGATGAGGAACTTCAACAATATGTATGATATGTAATGATTTATATCAGCTCAGAGATAACCCCATCTCTATTACAATCATAATTATTAATGGCAAACTATAGATTCTAGTACAGATGTGACTCAGGGGACATAGCACACGCTTTCGAAATAATGAAAATATGTATTCAATTTTACTGAGAACCTATGTAGAGATTTGTGTGTTCGATACCACATCCCATACAGAAAAGAAAATAAAAAAATATAATATCTACATTCCTTGGTTAGTTCTGTACCAAACATTTCAACAATCATATTTAGTTAACATAACATAACATAACATCACGCCTTTTATCCTCGAAGAGGTAGGCAGAGGTGCACATTATACCACTGTACAATGTAACACCCACTTTTCACTATTTATGTTATGAGTCCCATGTAATAGGGGGTGAGCCTATTGCCATATACCGGGCACAGTTCCAGACTCCGTGCTACTACTGAGAATTTTTTTAAAACCCAGTAATACTTTGCCCGACCCGGGAATCGAACCCGAGACCCCTTGCTCGGCAGTCGCAATTGTGACCACTCGGCCAACGAGGCAGTCATATTCAGTTAGTTTCTTATTAACAGATCTACTTTTGGTATGGCTCCGTAGTAGACATTAGTTTGGCACAACTTGAATGGAATAATATCTATCATTCATCATGTATCTTATAAAACAATCACGTGTGTATCAGATGGACTGACAGTTGACAGATAACTGAAACGCATCATGAATGATTTTTAGCGCAGCTTGCATGATTCACGAATAGAAACAGAGTGCACGTGTAATGACGGACGGACGGCCGCCCTAGCGACATGATCGCACGACACGTCGCGCGTATGTAGTGGCCAGTACATCACCAATGACACACAGCACGAACAAACAACCTCTGTGTGCGTAAAACCTAACTAACACGCTACGAGTGTGCGTAAGGGCCCCGCGAGTGCATCTGCACTGCACAAGTGCACCCGCACTGCACCAACCAAGGCCAACACACGAACATTATATCAATCTGTTCTATTGATAACTTTCTACGTGTTTCCATATTACGGTTGTATTTAAAATCTAATAACAAAGCCATTTTATCTTATAATGTGATCTGACCTGGTGATCTTGACGTAAGTGCGCCTAGATAGTGCGTCGATACATCTGTTATTGGTACGGTGAAGTTGCCACAATCGTTCAGGTCACTTGGATTGTCACAACAATTGCAACTTGCGTGCGCGCAAATACCTCGGGGCCCCGCGAAACAGATGAGCGTACAACGTGCTCGATTCGCTCCACGTCTGCATATTCCGAATGATAGATATAGTTATCTTCGCATTATCTCTCAAATGCGTAGCTGACGATTGTGTCCTTAAGAAGTAGAAGTTTCCTTGAGAAGGAAGACAAACGTGTAGTACCTACACAGGGTCGCCCGAACTACTTAAGACTCATAACTTGAATATAAACAAACAAGCAAGAAACATGCAAGTTCTCTTGTCGTTCAAGGAATAAAAAGCACAAATACAATGTTACACAGATTGCCTCAAAGTAGTGAAACAATATCGGTCACAGCCAGTCTTTGTTCTGCCAGCTAGGCTAGTTGCCCACTATATCAGAACTGACTCACAATTCAAGTAAAAAGGTTGCTGATAAACTCTTTTCTCCCATTTTACGAGTGAGATAAGGCAGAAATAATATAAAATATATTGTTTTATAACACATTTCCACTATCTGTTTATCTATTTATCCCACCCACGTTGACTATCTTTACGGCTCTGAAAAGAACCGCGGGTCATAAGCCAACTATGACAATCGTTTACACTAGTATAACCTGACATCTGTAATCACTCTTTTTACAAGTGTATAGAGTTTATTATCGCATGGTTTACAGGTCTATCACTGGTCGTATCAATATCGGACCATTCTGTATGTTCTTGCAAGTGGTCAAGTGATAGGTTAGTTTCTAGTTGATTTGTAAAGCTTGCTGTTTATCTATACTAGTTGTGGCGCGTGGCTTTTCTGCGATAAAATTATTTATTTCAGGAGTATTTAAAAATAAAAAAGTTAATGTGAAACTCAAGCGGTTGACTAACTACGGTGACGTAGATAGGATAGGTACAAGATATTTCTTATCAGCCATGGTCGTCCCACGGCAGGGCAAAGATATTGAAAGCTTAAAATTTTCTTTAGATTAGGTACTGTACCTAAAGCATACTTTTCTAAAACTTAGACTCCCCTTTTTCATTACATTCCCCTTTTCCAATAGTCGATTATTTTTATATGAAAGTCTCTTATAAAAACCTTGTCACCGTATAATGCCCTCTTTCATTGCACACATTACATTTAAGTGTGGGAGAGCCATGCCTCAGCACGAATGGGCCGGCTCAACCGGAGTGATACCACGGCCTCACAGAAAACTGACGTGAAACAACGCTTGCGTTGTTTTTCGCCGTGTGAGTGAGGTTACTGGAGGCCCAATTACACCCCCTCCCCTTCCTCAATCTCCCCAATCCCTGAATCCCCAACGATCCTCAAACTCCTAATCCCCAAAAGGCCGGTAACGCACTTGTAACGCCTCTGGTGTTCCAGGTGTCCATGGGCGACGCTGATTGTTTGCCATCAGGTGACCTATATACTCGTTTACCTGCTTATACCATAAAAAAAACACATTTCACCTCCTAAAAGGTCATATTCTTTTCTTAAGAACTCACATAAGTGAACATTAGGTCTCAGGGTTGATGGACAGGTCAGGAAAAGTATGAATTTATATACTTTTTTAAAACAAGAATCGCCGGTTTACTATAGGCCCTGACTGAAAAAGTAAATATAGATCCTATTAGTATAAATACTAAGTATTTTTTTTATTTATTTTTTTTAAGTGGGAAAAATCATCGAATGACTGCTCCCGCCTGGGTGAGGCCGGAGGCAGTGTCAGACTCTTACTGACTAAAAACCACCCCGTTCCTTCTCCTGCACGTCGAGCCGGAGCCCCGGTTACCTGTTAGGTTCTCCGCGACAAATACTGAGTATAAGCACACCTCTTTCTACCCTGTCGGGTACTGAGAA